CTCTTTCAGTAAGGGGCCCACACTTTCCTTGACTTTCTTCTTGTTGCTAACATACCTGAAGAAACCCTTCTTGTTACTCTTAACATCTCTTGCTAGCTGCAACTCCAGGTGTGATTTGGCCTTCCTGATTTCACTCCTGCATGCCTGAGCAATATTTTTATACTCCTCCCTGGTAATCTGTCCAATCTTCCACTTCTTGTAAGCTTCTTTTTTGTGTTTAAGATCACTTCTGGGAACATGACCAACAACAAGAAGGTGAGACAGACCAGTGAAAAAAATGGCAAGTGGATAGGAGGGCTTGACTTATGTGGAAAGATTTATGGCCTGATTCTACAAAGACTAACTCAACTGCTTAACTTTATATACTATGATTGGTCCTACTGAATTCAGTGGTACTCAGGGTACATAAAGTTAAGTCCACAGGAAGTCTTTGAAGGATTGGGGCATAAGAGAGCAAAATGTGCAGCTAAATGTGACTAAAGAGGATCATAAAGAAAACCTGCCCATAAATGTTCAAGAACAGAGAAGAATATTTTGGGTCAATGGGTTAATTAGAATGAATGCCCTGAAATTAAGACAAATTTAGAGTGATATTGGGACAATGAGCTATACTAGATCCAGGTTTCCACCAAATAGTCTCTTAAAAATGAGACTGGTAATTACTGTAGAATAGCACAATGATCTAGGGCTGCATGTAAATGGGCTGAGCCCTTACCATGTCCTCACTTGAGCTCACAGATGCAGGGCTAGTCCCCAAACATGACCTCCAGTCCTAGGATAGGGCTTTTTTCAAAAAAAATAAACTAACAACTCCACCACAAGCATATGGCTTAGCCTAAGCTTCTTCTCTCAGCTTGGTTGTCCCTCCAGGACCATCTGGCCTTAGCTCTGTGGAGAGCAGCTCTCTCATATTTAAGATATAGCCATGTCTTTGGTGGTCTCTCCAAAGGGTCTTTCTCTAGATAGTCTCTCTGCTGCATAGCCTTTGCCAGTAAGGACAGTTGGTGCCAAAAATCCGGTGCAATGAAATCTGTACCCTCCCAGGCAGAATTTCCATGATTTCTCCAATGTTATCAAATTTGCTAATTCTATTAATATCTGTGTCTTGAGCAGGGCTGGATTAACGCAGGGGCTTTAGGGGCTACAGCACAGGGCCTTGGGCTAAGGGACCCCTGCAAAAATAAATCCATAATTATATACAATTCAGTGGTCACCAACCCATCGATCGCGGCACCTCTGTCAGTCAATTGTGATCTCCGGGCTGCTAAAAGTCCATCAGCGCAGCAGGGAAGTGGCTGTCTGCTGGCTCCCAGAAGTGGTTGGCTGCTGGCATGTCTCTGTAGCCCCTGACGGGGTGTGTGTGTGTGTGTGTGTGTATGTGGCTGCCCCCTCCCCAGCACTACCCCCACAGAAACCGGCCAATGGGAGCAGTGGGGGCGGCACTTGCTGTGCTATGCTGCAGATGGCATAGGCCTTCACCACCCCCAAAAAAATCTCCTCTAGCTGTCATTAGTGGTAACTATAGTATTAGCAAAAAGAAAAGGAGTATTTGTGGCACCTTAGAGACTAACAAATTTATTTGAGCACAAGCTTTTGTGAGCTACAGCTCACTATTAGCAGTTATCCTACAACAAAAATGAGAACTAGAGGGAAGGTCAGTTACAGATGGAGAAGGTCTCGTTCTATCTGCTGTTCAGCAGTACTTACACAACAGTAAAAACATCACAGAAATTCATGATAAATTGATGCTTCCATAGTGAGGTTGAGGTCATGCCCTATCTACTTAGCAACTGCTGCTAGGTAAGCAAGCTGTCACTGCCTTGTAGCAAAAGCAGCCTGTAAGACAACTGCAAAAATATACTCTAGAAATTATTTTGGGGAAGTCCTACAGCTTGTATTATACAGGAGGTCAGACTAGCTGATCACAGTGTTCCCTTTTGGCCTTGGAATCTATGAAAAGACCAAAGAGTGGATATTTGAGGGTTCTGGGGGAGCTTGTATCTAGGAGAAAGATAGGACTTGGCAGATAGCTGAAGACAGGCTGCTGGAATCCTAACTGGAAATGGAAAAGCTGGTAAGGACTCAGAGCTAGCAGCAAGGCTAACTGAACGTGACAGGAAGGGAAAAGACTTGTAGCGTGGCAGAGTCCAAAGTCCAGGATATGAATGAGGACGATTTTTTAATGGAGGTTAAAGATGGAACGGGACTATCAAAGAATCGTAGAAATGTAGGACTAGAAGGGACAATGACAGGTTATCTAGTTCAGTCCCTTGCACTGTCAAGTAAGCCAGATTCACCTGAGGAGGAGCCTGAGGTCGCAAGTAGGGTCCATTGGAAGGTAGGAAAGCATGCAACTGAGAGCAAGGAATGTGAGAGAAGGTTGGAAAAGGAGTTGTGAGCAGCAACAAAGATATGCTCTGTCACTAGACTATCAGACTGGCTACAGAAAGGAAGTTAAGAACCCTCTTCTGAACTATGTTAAGTATAAAAAATGAACAATTTTGGATAGGTAAGAGATATGACCTTGTGCTAAAGACCAACAAAAATCAGGGGAGATTTCTGAAGGTTCAAACGTTGCTTAGGCACTTAACTCCCACTGGAAGCCAATTGAGGGCTTTCTCCCATTTGTGTATTTGAAAATCTACCCATAACTTATATACAATGTGTGGAGGTGTGCATCTTTGGCCTATAAGTTCTAGGACTGGCAGGTACAGCATCTTGAGAGATAAGATGTCAGAGACTCTTACAAATATTTCTATATGTAAACACATGTCCTATTCAATCTTCCAAGTGTCCCCTGTGAAGTCATTTTCAGGCATGAAGGCTGGACAGTTGTCATAAAGGGTTCAAAGTGACTATGCTCTCTTCTGTGGCTGATCTTCATCCAAGGGTTTTCCCACCTCGGGTCCACTGAAATTCATTCCATCACAAGGCAAGTCTTAGAGCATTTGATGATCTAATTCCAGTACCTAAAGCTATAATACTGTGTGCCTATATACATCACTCTTTATCCAGCAGCATGCACTGGTCTGACTCAATTCCCCCTTTACATTTGATCATCTCAGTACATTTCATGATCAATGTTGCAAGAGCTTTCCACTTTTCCAGAGATACGAAAACTGCAGAGTCAGTCTGTTGACAGGCTATTTGATCATGAATATCTGGTAGGTGATGAGTATTCTGTTCTTATAAAGCCTGTGTGTCACAGTGACTTCACCAGCTTCAGAGGTCCCAGATGCACAAATATGACTGTATTAGTGAATTTAATTAGGTACATGCTTTGAAGCATATAAACTATAGTATGGGCATATCTATGTTGTAGAACAGGGGTTCTCAAACTTCATTGCACCATGACCCCCTTCTAACAACAAAAATTACTACATGACCCCAGAATGGGAGACTGAAGCCTGAGCCCAAAGGCTTCAGCTCCAGGCAGTGAGTGGGCTTTGGCTTCAGCCTGGGCAGTGGGACTCGGGCTTCAGCCTTGGGCAGTGGATCTTGGACTTCAGCTTCAGCCCTGGGTCTCAGAAAGTCTAAGCCAGCCCTAGCGACCCCATTAAAATGTGGTCCCAACCCACAGACTGAGAACTGCTGTTGTAGAGAGTTGTAACAGAACTTGATGCTGAAAGCAAAGGCTAAATGTATATGGACTGCGATGATCAAAGAGATCTGCTGGAAGAGACTCCATGTTATGTCTGTATACTTGTTCCAAAGTGACAGAACAACATGACAAAGACCTACTGTGACTAATTTGTCTCTGTATATAAGAATCCTGACAGAGTCCAAGGAAGTTTAGCTGAGGGTGTCCTGAAACATTTCAATATATTTCCAGAATTTTAGAGTTTGAGGTAAGATTCTTGAGTAGAACTTGCACTGAGACCTAGCATGGCCTGCCTTGTAGGTATCTGACAAAAAGCTTAAGATAAATGCCATGATTGTACCTGAAGTCACTTAGGTACTTCTTGTTAAAAATTATAAAAAATATTAAAATTTATTTTAAAAAATTAACATTATAAAGAAAACTGACAACCATTCCACTAAATCCTTGCAGCAATAAATGGAAACAATTCTAAAATCTTATAGAAGAATCTTTATAAAAGTTTAAGTGATTGTAAAGCTCACAAAGTCATGAGAAGTGTATTCTTTCTTCAGTCAAAAATCAAGACTGAAATTATGCTAGAAGACTGTGGTGCGAATTGATCTCCCTCCCTCCCTCCCTCCCTCCAAGGAAATAAAAAGTGCATTGAGTCATACGTTTAATGAATCTTTGACATATCTTCACAATCTACATAGTGGAAGAACAAGAGATCAGAAGTGGGCATCTTTGCTACTTATTCTCTTCTTCTTGGCACTGGAAGTCATGCTTTTCTGATGTGAGGTCCTTTGCCATCAAGGGGCACAACAGGAACCATTGGCACATTTTTGGAAGATATTTTAAGTTTTGAATATGGTACTGAGGTTGCCTGTTGTTCATTAGAAGTTCAAAGTCCCACTCCTTTTTCTCAAAATGCACCCCCCATCTTAAACATATCCTCTTGTTAACCTGTCCTGTATAAATATGTATCAATCTAGACAAATCTGCACTGAACAGGCAAAGGAAGAGAGTATGTGAGAAGAATACAATACCAAATGATACTCTGTTCTGCAAAACTGATGAATCCACGACAACTGAATAGTCCAGTTCAAAACAAGGCAGGTATCAACAGGATATGTTAAAGTGACACTGTATATTCAATCGCCAATAGATTTCAAGTGTAGGGGAAAAAAAGCCACTTATTTTTCTATTGTCCATGAGTAAAAACTATCATTATTGTATAGATATAGATAAAAACCTTGATTTCTTACTGCATAAACCTACTGCAGTATAGTTAATAATGAATAATTCCACCTATCAGAGTGGCAGCTGTATCCAGTTAGTTTATTACTTGATTAGTTCACATGAAAGCGGAGAAGGGAAACATTCACAGGGATCTTGATGAACACTATGGGATGGTTCCTACCATGTTGCTTTGAGACTGCGTTGCCCCATACATTGTAATGCCATTTGATGGTGCTGCTGGCTGTGGTGTATCTGGCTGTATAAATCCTCTTCTGTCAATTAGACTACAGAATAATAATAAAAAAACCCACACAAGATTGTTAGAAAGATTATGATTAATAATTCTCCACCCCCAATAAAAATAGATTTCAATATTACATTATTTGTGCAAAATTTTAACACACAAAGGTAAAAACAGAGGGAACAGTGTGAGAGAAACACAAAATGAACAGTCTGGTGAAGAACTTGAACAAAGAGCTGTTTGCTGGAATTCTGAAAGTAGTGTGATCACGCTGTGTATTACAGGCTGACTTTGGTTTTGCCAGCTAATATCTATGTACAAGACTATGTACACTTCTAAATAAACTAGACTTACAGCTCGTCTACACTGCCCCACAGTTTGGACTACAGGAGCGTGAACAGCAGGGCGCACCAAAGTGCTGTGCTGCAACTCCTCTGTGTGGATGGTGTGGGTGCAAACTAAAAGGAATACAATGTACAAGCAAAGGAGTAATTACATTATTCTGTTTTCTGAAAACAATTAACTGCTTGGAGTTCCTCACTTCCAACAGCTAGAAATACTGCAATGAAAGATCAAAGAACCACTAAACAAGTTTATTTATGTTACAGGTGTATGAACCTGTACTTAAACTGTTTTACTAGATCTAATTGCTGACTCAGCCATAAAACAGAGTCAGCAACTTACTTGCATCCGTGATCTAAAAAGATCAGTTTCACTAAATAGTACAATGAAGACCTGTTTCAGTTGAGCAAACTGAAGTAAGATAACAAAAGTCAAACTTAGATCAGTAAGTCTGTGGTCTCATCCTATACAAAAACATTACTTTTAGTAACCCTTACCTTGGAGAGATGGGCCCGCACAGCGCTGCACAACAATTAGTAAAGATGTTGCCATAACTGTATGGATTGTAATTCTCTTTACCTCTTTTATTTGACCAAGATCCTTTAATCTGAAGAGACATGAATATAAAATATCAGCTACTATGTCACATACAATTGCTGGGGCAAATTAGGGGTAATCACAGTAACAACAAATATAATAATCATTATTTATGATTTGGGGAAGAAAAGAGGAAAAGAATGTTTAAAAGCATGTCTGTACTAACCCCACAGTCCTGAAAGGGCTTTGGGAGAATCTCCATGACGCAACCACATAGAGGCTACATCCACTGTTTCAGTTTCAGAATATGTAGGTTGGAGTAATGGCTACTAAGCAAACCTATAGCCCACACATGGGTGAGAGAATGAATTCCATGTCCCCTGTTGTCTATGTAGTTCCCTGAATACGGACTGAATAATTCAGGCTTTTCATGGGAAGGAGGTGAGTTAGTAAATTCCTTAGTAAGTCTGAGGAAGAGTCCTTGCTTTTCTGCCTTGAAAAATAAAGAATAGGCATGCTGCACTGTCATAATTCCCTGTAATCTGAGGGTTTTCCATGGAAAGCGTTTTATTTAACATGGAAAACAATTAGCTCTGTCTATATAGCCAAAGTTGACCCCAGTTCAAAAACAGATCAGGACTGGTATTTCATCTCACCTGTTTTACTTCACAAGTATGATGCATATTCTTCAATTTATTACTGAAAAATGCTCTGCCCTGCATCTTTATGCTTTGTATTTTGTAAAATACACAATTATAACTTAGCCCTTAGCCAATGACCAAAATATATTTGGCACACACAAAAATACTAGGTTTGGGGTTATCACACAATTATGAAAAAAGCTACAAAAATAAATAAAAATAAAAAGTAAATTTGGAGTAATTCCTTCAAAAAGCTTACGTCAGTATATTTGGATTAAATGGCAAAACTGAACAATGCTCTCTTATACCATCTGTTAGTTAGCTTTAGTCTTCCCTTTAGTCTCAATATTTCTTAATAATCTGGTTAGGAGAGACATGAAGTATCTGTCTTCACAGTTAGTTAAATGAACTGTTGTGACACTGGAACCGATGGACCCATCCTCCATGTAGAACAGAGACTGTAAAAGCGGATGACCTCTGAACTAATGATTTCTTCTCTGTTGGGAGAACCTGCCCTCAATTGCCAGAGCACTCAAACAAAATTTAGTTTAAATGGCAGAAAGTCAAAGACAGACAAGACACATGATGGAACTTGTTTTCAAAACCAGACTGGTTGATATTTTCTGAAACTTTTTTCAAGTCTAAATTGTTTTTGAATTACAGATTATGTAGGATTCTAGTGGAAAACATTGGGAAAAGGGTGCTATAGACAGCTGGATACTTCCCCACTGCACTGAAATGTATAAAATACAGAGACTTTTTGAAGGACTGGCTTTCACTTGCATTTTGTTCTTTTTGTTTGTTTGTTTCTTCTTCTGTGTTTCTCATTTTCTGTTCCCAGAAACTGGTCTAATGGGTCTTATTGAACCTTGGTTATAACTAGGGCTGTCAAGCGATTAAAAAAATTAATTGTGATTAATCGCACTGTTAAACAACAATAGAATACCATTTATTTTAAATATTTTTGGATGTTTATTACATTTGCAAATATATTAATTTCAATTAAAACACAGAATACAAAGTGTACCATGCTCTCTTGGTATTTATTTATTACAAATATTTGCAAAAAACAAAAAATATAAAAAAACAAAATGTATTTTTCAGTTCATCTCATACAAGTACTGTAGTGTAATCTCTTTATCATGAAAGTTGAACTTAAAATTGTAGAATTATGTACAAAAAAACTGCATTCAAAAATAAAACAGTGTTAAACTTTAGAGCCTACAAGTCCACTCAGTCCTACTTCTTGGTCAGCCAATCACTCAGACAAACAAGGTTGGTTACAATTTGCAGGAGATAATGCTGCCTGGTTCTTGTTTACGTCACCTGAAAGTGAGAACAGGCGTTCGCATGGCACTGTTGTAGCTGGCGTTGCAAGATATTTATGCGCCAAAGATTCATATGTCCCTTCATGCTTCAACCACCATTCCAGAGCACATGCTTCCATGCTGGTGATGGGTTCTGCTTGATAACGATCCAAAGCAGTGTGGGCTGACACATGTTCATTTTCATCATCTGAGTCAGATGCCACCAGCAGAAGGTTGATTTTGTTTTTTGGTGGTTCGGGTTCTGTAGTTTCTGCATCAGAGCGTTGCTCTTTTAAGACTTCTAAAAGCATGCTCCACACCTTGTCCCTCTCAGATTTTGGACGGCACTTCAGATTCTTAAACCTTGGGTCGAGCAGTGTAGCTGTTTTTAGAAATCTCACACAGGTACCTTCTTTGCGTTTTGTCAAATTTGCAGTGAAAGTGTTCTTAAAATGAACATGTGCTGGGTCATCATCCGAGACTGCTACAACATGAAATATATGCAGAATGCAGGTAAAACAGAGCAGGAGACATACAATTCTCCCCCCAAGGAGTACAGCCACAAATTTAATTAAAAAGAACAGGAGTACTTGTGGCACCTTAGAGACTAACGAATTTATCAGAGCATAAGCTTTCGTGGGCTACAGCCCACTTCATCGGATGCATAGAATGGAATATATAGTAAGAAGATATATGTATACATACAGAGAAGTTGGATATATATTTTCTTACTATATGTTCCATTCTATGCATCCGATAAAGTGGGCTGTAGCCCACGAAAACTTATGCTCTAATAAATTTGTTAGTGTCTAAGGTGCCATAAGTCCTCCTGTTCTTTTTGTGGATACAGACTAACATGGCTGCTACTCTAAACCTAACAAATTTAATTGACGCATTATTTTTTTAATGAACATCATCAGCATGGAAGCATGTCCTCTGGAATGGTGGCTGAAGCATGAAGGGGCATATGAATGTTTGGCATATCTGGAATGTAAATACCTTGCAACGCGGGCTACAAAAGTGCCATGCAAACGCCTGTTCTCACTTTCAGGTGACATTGTAAATAAGAAGCAGGCAGTATCTCCCGTCAATGTAAACAAACTTGTTTGTCTTAGCGATTGGAAGAATAAGAAGGGCTGAATGGACTTGTAGGCTCTAAAGTTTTACATTGTTTTGTTTTTGAGTGCAGTTATGTTACAAAAAAAATCTATATTTGTAAGTTACACTTTCATGATAAAGAGATTGCATTACAGTACTTGTATGAGGTGAATTGAAAAATACTGTTTTGTTATTTTTACAGTGCAAATATTTGTAATAAAAATAATAATATAAAGTGATCACTGAGCACTTTGTATTCTGTGTTGTAATTGAAATTAACATTGAAAATGTAGAAAAACATCCAAAAGTATTTATTAAATTTCAACTGGTATTCTATTGTTATTAAGTGCGATGAATCGCAATTAATTTTTTAATCACGATTAATGTTTTTGAGTTAATTGCGTGAGTTAACTGCGATCGACAATTCTAGTTATAACCCAATCAATATTTTCCCATCTAATGTCAAAAAGGATTAAAACTACCCTACAAGTTTAAGGAGGATGTTTATCATCACATATAGTTATTAAGAAGCAAAGCTTCATACTACGAGAAAGAATTCTGAAGTTTTTAGAACTAGGGGTAGAATGCACTAAACACCTAATGAATCGCTAAAACCGTGGTCACTGCATCACTGTTACCAGGTCATGGTGCCCTATCACCTCCTTCCTCACCAAGACACGCATACCAATATGCAGATAGGTTTTTTGGGGGGGGAAGGGAGGCGGGGAAACTCAGTAAGATCTACAGAAAGGAAACTGAAAATACAGACAATGAAAGTTAACAATCTTTTAATATTTACTAAATGAAAACAGGTATACAATTACACCATGAAGTCAAGAACTTACATCTTCATTTGTTGTTTGATTGGAGCTGATCAAATATGTATGAAAACCTGAGAGACCAACAATAGACCAAACGGAAAAAAAACACACGACAGCTTCCAGCACAGTGATTAAAAGTCAAGGAAGTACAAATTTGTATGAAATCTAATAATAATTAATAATAGCACTCACATAGTGATTTGTTTCTTTAAAGTACTGAACTCTGAATTCTGCACAAACATATGCTGAGTAATCTTCACAACACCCGTATTAGGAAAGTATGTAAGTAAATGGAAGTACAGTTTCACTTACAGACAGACAGACAGAGAGCTTCATTCCATGACTTTACTCAAAACCACACAATGAGTCAGTGACAAAGATGAGATTAGAACTGTGTTTACATAGCACCTAGCACAAGGGGTGGTGGCCCATGATTAGGGCTTCTAGGAGCTACAATAATTCAAATAAATAAGAACAGTTTAGAAGTTTCTGGCTTCCAGTCACACGTAAAATCAGTGAGACTCAGAATGAGACTTGCAAGCAGCTCTTTAATGTGCCTCCTGAGGCTCTTTGCAGCACACGATATTAAAACACTGTGATTTAATTATTAACCAATCAGAATACTTTTACTATGTTATTAACCAAGTGTAGTTGATAAAATAATATTTGGTCAGTCATTTCTTGTGGGAATAATATATATAAACTAAATATTTCCTCATCATACTGTTTCAATATGAATATATAGTATTATAGTAAATGAAACAATTAATTCACACTTGTGTAGCTTTTTTGGGTAATGTGGATTGCTAATTTGGCTCCTGAACCACTGAGGTCTGAGTATCACTGTAGTAGACCATGCTGTCTGTCCTCTGTAACTGAAGCAGAGATACTGATTATACATGTCCTACAAAATCATAATGACAATGTATTAGCCCAGGTATGCTACAAATTCCACTTGCTCTCCATTACCATCATGATTACATTCACTGCTCTGTTACAAACACACACACACACTTGCCATAAGCAAGTGACTGTGGAATTTGCAAGGCCTGTTTACAACTTTTACCTTTGTGAATTTTCCTACTGGAAACAATGCACTGAAAAGCACCGAAAACCTTTTATTCATTACTACAGAATGAACATAAGCAAGATATTTCACCATTCAGTCAACTGTGCCTCAATATTATTTTTAAGCTTTGATCTTATCAATTTTTCCTCTTTTTCTTTCCAACCTACCTTCCCTCTCTTCCTTCTGCAGAGGCCTTTTTACCTTAACTACAACCCCCCAAAATCAGTAACTAGCCTTTTTTAGGGCCAACATCTATGTTACTATTAAATTGGTCAACATTGGGTGCTGTGCAGTGCAGCTTACAATATCCTTTAACTCTGACTAAAAGACAATCTCAATGTCAAGGTATCATACTTTGCTCCTAAACCTTGTTTATCTCAGTAAGACAGCAAGCTACTACAACCAAAAGACCACGTCTATCCTTTCAATTGCTATTTATTTCAGTTTATGTACAATAGCTAGGAACTTGGAACTCTCATCCTACTCTATATTAATATATTTATGTTTGATAGTCTATATATACCAAAGAAGAAAAAAAGCATTGTCTCCTACCAAAATATATAATAAATTAATAAGGAATATGGCAATTGGAAAAGAACATGATGACAATTAATCTATACAAGTCATTTTCCAAAACAACTGTTTCTCAAAATATTCACAAACAGGCCACAAAATGCACCACTCACATCCTCATCAATACCTGTCTACACAAGAGAAAGAGAAATATGCATGACCCCTTAGCACTATGAAAATAAAGAAGCCAGAAAAAGCAATACCAGGAATGCCCTGGTCTTTTACCATTTAAAAATTACAACAAACATATTCAGGGTATTATTTAACAGTCAAGCACCATAATATTGCTGTGATCCAATAAACATGGGAACTATACATTACACAACTGCATAAAAACCTCTTAAAATATTGCTAAATTTGCAAAGTCATTATAATGCCCATTAGCCACTGGTAACAACTTTGCTCTAACACAACTTAGTTTAAATGGCAGAAACTGTCAAAGCCAAGCAGAAATGGAAATGAGCCAACAATTCATTAGTTTTGCTTAGGGTATAAAACATTTATATGTCACTCTTTAGAACTATCTCTTGCAGAAACAGGATGGATAGAAGAACCATGATGAATTTCTGAGCAGCAGGTTTGCTACTTTTCTTCCTCTCCCTCAGGGGTGATTTGAAAGGTCACAGATGAGCAGGAAAGGAGCTTGCACTGGGGACCAAGCCGTAGACACAGCAGCAGGCAGCCTATGAACTAGGACAAGAAGGCTTAGGCACAGAGAGCCTGGCAGGAGTTTGGCAGCAGCAGGATACAGACAGAAGAACCTGCAAACAGGAGGCAGAAGTCACCCCCCCTAAAGTTGACTGCTGCAGGACAGCGTGGTAGAGCTCTTAAGTGAAACTGCTGATGACACAAATGAACATTGTCTAGTGGGATCTACTGATCAAAATTTAAACTGTCCTCTGAGACAGGCTGGACTAGAAAAGACACCCCAGATATCAGGTCTGAGGAAGACCAGTTACCCTCCTACCCTTATAGTTGACTGCCCCCTTAGGACAGAGGTAAGAAAAAAGGTTTATCTTTTATTTCAACTAAGAACTAAGCCATTGTACCTAAGATATCAGAGGGATAGCCATGTTAGTCTGTATCCACAAAAACACAACCTATCCTGGAAAACAATCCCTCACTCTCACAGACCTTGGAAGGCAGGCCAGTCCTCGCTTACAGACAGCCCCCAACCTGAAGCAAATACTCACCAGCAACTACACACCACACCACAGAAACATTAGGAACCAATCCCTGTAACAAACTCTGTTGCCTACTCTGTCCCCATATCTACTCTAGCAATACCATCAGAGGACCCAACTGCATCAGCCACACCATCAGGGGCTCATTCATCTGCACATCTACTAATGTGACATATGCCATCATGGGAGATGGGGCATTGCTGGCACATGTACACTGGCCAAACCGGACAGTCTCTAAGTAAAAGAATAAATGGACACAAATCAGACATCAGGAATGGTAACATACAAAAGCCAGTAGGAGAACACTTCAATCTCCCTGGACATTCAATAACAGATTTAAAAGTAGCCATCCTTCAACAAAAGAATTTCAAAAACAGACTTCAAAGAGAAACTGCTAAGCTACAATTCATTTGCAAATTTAATACCATTAATTTGGGCTTGATTAGGGACTGGGAGTGGCTGCCTCACTACAAAAGCAAATTTTCCTCTCTTGTTATTGACACCTGCCCATCAATTATTGGGATTGGACCACATCCACCTTGACTGAATTGGGCTTGTCAACACTGGTTTTTCACTTGAAAGGTAACTCCCTTCTCTTCATGTGCCAATATATTTATGCCTGTATCTGTAATTTTCACTCCATGCATCTGAAGAAGTAGGTTTTTACCCATGAAAGCTTATGCCTAAATAAATCTGTTAGTTTTTAAGGTACCACCGGACTCCTTAATGTTTTTGTACCTAAGATATTTTCAACCAATATTTTCTTTCTGCCAGCCCTCGTGAATAATCCTTTCCTGTTAACCATGTATGCGAGCACTTTTCAGGAAGCAACCAGGTGCTAGAGTCTATAGGGTCAGTGGCTACATGCACATAAGCACTCCCTTCCAAGACCATTTTATACCTGGTGATTTATCAAGTGTATGGAAAATTTTGGAGCACTGCATCCCGCAGAGCAACCTATTGGGATGGGACTAATTATAGAACATTCCCCTATTAACAGGGCACTGTTAGTGATACTTAATTAAGCAAACTGCTTTACAGGATCTCATATTGTGGATATTCTTGTAGAAGCTTTTCTAAGGTTATCACCATGCAGTTTGAGAAACTTAAATACATGGATGAATTTATGCTCACAGCACCTGAGCGAGGCAGGGAAGCATTAGGTCATTCTGATAGGCTACACTATCTCCACCTGTGAGGGCTCCCGAGGGAGGGAAAGAGATCTACTGTTCTGGGCATACTCCGTTAGCTCCTCACTTTATGCTTTTTAAGCAGGAGTGAACTACTGAGCCTTGTGCTGGAGGACTCACTGAGTGTGAGCTTCCATAATAGGTTTTTTGATTCAAGGTAAGTGTTTTGGAATTTGTCCCTTTACATTTATAGTAAAAGGAATAAAGTTAATTCACTTAAGTAAGAGGTGCTTAGATGAAAATGTAGGAATTGTGAGGAAAACAAAGGCATAGTACAAAAGATGTACCCTCAGTTTAGCATGTAGGGAGCTATGTATTTAACTCCCTGTTCATCAAGATGTGCAAATAAAATGGAAGCTCATTAGTTATTAAAAAGATAATTGATTTATACATAGTTGTTGAATACACAGCAACAAGGCTCAGCTATTGAGTACAGTAATATGGTCTACTACAACTAGAGACCCGTAAAACTCGGTTTGTCACATAGCATTGTTAGTGAGGCATCAGCTGAAAAGCAAGACTCTCTCTTCACAAATTGTCTTGCTGCAAAACAAAATTCCCAGTACTGTTGATGCAATTTCATTTTGTATTGTGAGGAATTGCAACCAACCCACTAAACTGTCCAACATGTCACATTCTAAAGGAGCTGCTTCTACAAAATGCTCTATTGAGCCTCTCAAACTGGCATGACTTTGAATGCAAATTATGAATAAAAAGCCTATTGTTCCTGTACAAGGATCCACAAGTGTGGGATCAATTACCTTTTGATTTAAGAACAATTGAAAGCTTTTTCCATTTTGAGAGAACTGAAAGACTAATCCGCTATTAGAAGTGATTTGTCATTCTTTTATGTGGAAGTTATTGTTGTGCTATTCAGGATAGATTGCTTGTTTGTGCTTCCTAAAAACTGTGGCCTTGCTTAAAAAGGAGGTTATGGCTCAATGATTCTACATCACAAACATACAAATCAATGAACACATCAGAAGTTATGTCTACAGAATTTAGCAAACTTGACGTTTTAGAAATATACAGGTGACAACACTCAGGGGTGAAATCTTGTTACTTCTGCCCTTTACATATTTCTTTAGCAAAAATTGTAATTTTGCCAATTAATAAGCGGACGTTTTTCCACAAAACCATCCCAGGTGGTGCGTGTGGTGTATGGTTGTTTTTTTGTTTTTAATAGGCAAAACCGCCATTTTTGTGTACTTCTGGGCAAAAATCTAGTTTTGTGCATAAGAGCAAGTGTTCTAAGGCAAAACAGTAAAAGGGTTTTGCTTTTGCAGAGCCCGTGTAAGGAATGATTTTTGCACTGGCTTTGTGAGTGATGCAAATAGTTTCACATATCTATATATCAGCCATCCACACATATTAGTGGGGAGTTGGAAGAGCTATAGTCCCACAGGAATTTAAGCAGGAAGTCAAGTAGAAGTTATGGCAGGTCCCCAACCTTTTCCGTCTGTTAGCTCAGAGTGGTTTTCAAACTTTTTGTATGGGTGACCCTTTTCATACAGCAAACCTCTGAGCGTGAGCCCCCCTTATAAATTAACAATGCTGGGGGTAATTTAATTCAATGGGGGCTCGGGGCTGCCAGCACCACAGAACTGACAGCTCGTGACCCCCACGTAATCACCTTGTGATCCCCTGAGGGTCACAACTCCCAGTTTGAGAATCCCTGTGTTAGCTGTTCTCAACTGGGAGCAGAAGTCATAGAATCATAGAAGATTAGGGTTGGAAGAGACCTTAGGAGGTTATCTAGTGAGTCAAACCCCTGCTCAAAGCAGGACCAACACCAACTAAATCATCCCAGTCAGGGCTTTGTCAAGCCTGGCCTTAAAAACCTCTAAGGATGGAGATTCCACCACCTCCCTAGGTAACCCATTCCAGTGCTTCACCACCCTCCCAGTGAAATAGCGTTTCCTAATATCCAACCTACACCTCCCCCACTGCAACTTGAGACCATTGCTCCTTGTTCTGTCATCTGCCACCACTGAGAACAGCTGAGCTCCATCCTCTTTGGAACCCCCCCTCAGGTAGTTGAAGGCTGCTATCACGTCCCCCCTCACTCTTCTCTTCTGCAGACTAAACAAGCCCAGTTCCCTCAGCCTCTCCTCGTAAGTCACATGCCCCAGCCCCCTGACCATTTTCATTGCTGTCCGCTGGACTCTCTCCAATTTGTCCACATCCTTTCTGTAGTGGGAGGTCCAAAACTGGACTCAGAACTGCAGATGTGGCCTCACCAGTGCCGAATAGAGGGGAATAATCACTTCCCTCAATCTGCTGGCAATGCTCCTACTAATGCGGCCCAATAAGCCGTGAGCCTCCTTGGCAACAAGGGCACACTGTTTACACATATCCAGCTTCTTATCCACTGTAATCCCCAGGTCCTTTTCTGTAGAACTGCTACTTAGCCAGTCAGTCCCCAGCCTGTAGCAGTGCATGGGATTCCTGACCTTGCGGAACCTGATCAGACTTCTTTTGGCCCAATCCTCCAATTTGTCTAGGTCACTCTGGACCCTATCCCTACCCTCCAGTGTATCTACCTCTCCCCCAAGCTTAGTGTCATCTGAGAACTTGCTGAGGGTGCAATCCATCCCATCATCCAGATAGTTAATAAAGATGTTCAACAAAACCGGCCCCAGGACCGACCCCTGGGGCACTCCGCTTGATACCGGCTGCCAAATAGACATCGAGCCGTTGATCACTACCCGTTAAGCCAGATATCTAGCCAGATTTCTATCCACCTTATAGTCCATTCATCCAATCCATACTTTTTTAACTTGCTGGCAAGAATACTGTGCAAGACCATATCAAAAGCTTTGCTAAAGTCAAGATATATCACGTCCACTGCTTTACCCATATCCACAGAGCCAGTTATCTCATCATAGAAGGCAATTAGATTAGTCAGGCATGACTTGCCCTTGGTGAATCCCTGTTGACTGTTCCTGATCACCTTCCTCTCCTCCAAGTGCTTCAAAATGGTTTCCTTGAGGACCTGCTCCATGATTTTTCCAGAGACTGAGGTGAGGCTGTAGTTCCCTGGGTTCTCCTTCTTCCCTTTTTTAAAGATGGGCACTATATTTGCCTTTTTCCAATCATCCAGGACCTCCCCCAATTGCCACGAGTTTTCAAAGATAATGCCAATGGCTCTGCAATCACATCAGCCAATTTGCCTCAGCACCCTCGAATGCATTAGATCTGGACCCATGGAGTTGTGCATGTCCAGCTTTTCTAAATAGTCCTTAATCTGTTCTTTCACCACTGAGGGCTGCTCACCTCCTCCCCATACTGTGTTGCCCAGGACAGCAGTCTGGGAGCTGACCTTGTCTGTGAAGACAGAGGCAAAAAAAGCATTGAGTACTTCAGCTTTTTCCACATCATCTGTTCACTAGGTTGCGTCCCCCATTCATTAAGGGTCCTACACTTTCCCTGACCTTTTTCTTGTTGCTAACATACCTGTAGAAACCCTTCTTGTTACCCTTCACATCCCTTACTAGCTGCAACTCCAGTTGTGTTTTGGCCTTCCTGATTACACCCCTGCATGCTCGAGAAATATTTTTATACTCCTCCCTAGCCATCTGTCCACGTTTCCACTTCTTGTAAGCTTCCTTTTTGTGTTTAAGCTCACCGAAGATTTCACTGTTAAGCCAAACTGGTCACCTGCCATATTTGTTATTCTTCCTGTGCCCTCAATAAGGCTTCTTTAAAATACAGCCAGCTTTCCTGGACTCCTTTCCCCCTCATATTAGCCTTCCATGGGATCCTGTCCATCAGAAAAGCAGACTTTGACTCCCTGAGGGAACTGAAGTCCAGGGTCTGTATTTTGCTACTTTCCTTTCTTCCTTTTGTGAGGATCCTGAACCCAACCATCTCATGGTCACTGCTGCCCAGGTTGCCACACACTTCTACTTCCCCTTCCAATTCTTCCCTGTTTGTAAGCAGCACATCAAGAGAACAGCCCCTGGTTGGTTCCTCCAGTAATTGCACCAGGAAGTTGTCCCCAACACTCCACAAAAACTTCCTGGGTTGTCTGTGCACTGCTGTATTGTCCTCCCAGCAGATGTCAGGGTGAAGTCCCGCAATAGAACCAGGGCCTGTGTTCTGTAAACTTCAGTTAATTGTCTGAAGAAAGCCTCGTCTACCTCATCTTCCTGGTCTATAGCACATGTCCACCACAACATCACCCTTGTTGCTCTCGCTGCTAAACTTAACCCAAAGACTCTCACCAGGCTTTTCTTCAGTTTCATGCTGGAGTCCTATTCCACTCACAGCTGAGAACTTGTGAAAAAGGCAAGAAGCTGTTGGAACATATTAAAATAGCACAGTGACACTGAGGGCATGTCTACACGGACCTTGCAGTTCAGACAAAAGGAGTGGGAACAGCAGTCCACACAAGTGCTGTGCTGCAACTCCCCTGTGGGATGCTGCACGTTCAAACTTCAAGGTCCTGAGTTTGCACTAATGCAGTCCTCTTTAAAGAGGACTGCATTAGTGCAAACTTAGGACCTTTAAATTCATGTACGCAGTGTCCACACAGGGGAATTACAGCACAGCACTTCAGTGCACATTGCTATTTGCACCCTCATAGTCCGAACTGCAGGGCTGCGTAGACATGCCTTGAGCTACAGTTAGTGGGGGATAGTGGGAGCAGGTGAGGGAATCTAACAAACAACTAGCTACTTGAATTAATGATACCTAGGACAGATTTTACTGTGTCCTAAAGGACTGACAAAGTTATCAGCATAAGTATACTTTGGAAATACTGGATTGTTTGGTGCCACTTAATATTTTTGCTTTTGTATTTTATAATTGACTTTTTCTATCCCACCAAAGTCAACAAATTCCAAATAAATATTTTCCTCTCATGAGGAAATGCGTACAATTATCTCTTGAAATGTGTGTGTGACTTCAATAAATGTTAAATGGACATTACATACATTTACCTAGAATAGACTATACCCCCAAAAGATGCAAAATAATAATAAAAAAAAGAGCTCTTCTCTTCTCTACGTGCAACACTAAATGAGAAATGATGTAGCAATACTAGAGCAACTGGTGAAACCTTTCTTGAGAAAGTCTCAATTCCATGCATCCAACAACAGCAAAAAAACCCCAAAAAACAACCCGGATACATTTATCATATAATTTCTTCCTTAATATTTATGTAACAAAATCTACAGCACATTTTAATGAAAGGATATCTTGCTGGACTGTCCTTGAGGGCATTTAAGAATCCTGTTTGCTGTGATCCTGTGGAAACAAAAACCAAATTTTACAAATGAGTTAGAATTTTCAGTATAGGCTGCTTTCATCATAGATCACATCCACAGATCAAAAACAATAGGCGCCTGAAGATCAGTTGCATAATTGTATTTTGAAAGTAGTATCAACAAAAAAGTGGCAGACTTATAATCAGATCTAACATCTGCAGGGTATTTCTCAGTAATACCAGACTGATGTCTGCACCGTTTTGCAGTAATAAGATTTCTAATTATCCCTCAGTTCTTTTCTATCCTAATATGGAAAAGAAAAGATTGTTAGCTACTTTTTGACTTGGAAATCCTATAAGATATACACCTGCTATGGCCCAGATTTTCCGCTGCCCCTAGCTTACTCTGTGTGCAGCCAGGCAAGTATGTGCAAATGAGCCAAATACAGATCTCTGATCCTTGGGCCAGTTCTACACCACCTCCTGACCCCTGGGCATCTTGAGAGCTACTCCAATTTATGCTGGCTGGCTATGGCCACCAGGGCAACATCCACTAGCTGGGAAGAGCCAGAGAATAGCATGCTCCAGGCAGACTCCTTACACCAGGGTTCCAGGAAGGATGGTGTAGGAGATTGCTATGCCAGCTCCATGCTCACTGGGGATTCCCCACATTGGGAAGATATGTCCACTTTCCAGTCCCTATGCACTGAACTGATGCCCAGGGGCTGAAGAGGGCTGAATAGACTGGCCCTTACTGCTGCACATATTATAAATAACTTTGCATTCTACTGTATCATTTAACCATTATTCATTGAATACATTTTAAATATTTTCCCTTTCAAGAAAATTCTCCCTCCTTAGCTAAAGAGGATCTGATGGGGGGGGGGGGAAATCTTGATGATGACTATCTTTTTTTAGGAGACACCATTTCCATGGGCCAGACTAGTGGTTTACAGTGGTCGCTATCAAAAAAAAGGAAAAATGACTTGCCTTATATTTTTCATTCTTGACTTTTTCCCCCAGTATTCTCACACTTGGGTCTTAGTTTCACAGCACAACTTCTCCCAGGTTTCAGGCCCTTAAGGACACCAGTAGCAGGTAGGTGTGTGAACAACACTCTCTGTTGGTGGTCATACACCTCTAGTCACTTCCTGACTTACCACAAAGTGAAGGCTCCTCAAACCAAATAAGTCAATCACAAAAACAAAATGGCTGAAAGATTAACGCCTAAAAAAAAAAATTGAATGAATACGAAGATAAAGTCTATATTGAAAAGGTTTTCCTCTCTGAAACTGAGTGGGTATATGTGGTTGAGCAAGAATCCTGCAAGATGATGACTTCAGAGAAGCAGAATTACTAAGTAAGTAATTTTCTCTTCTCCAAAGATACTATCTGTATAGAATTCTCACTCCTGGAAAGAAAACAGCGCAAGTGGATGTCAGAAAGAAAAAGAGCATCATTAAATAATTACAGCAGGCAGAAAGAACAAAGCCAAAGATGCTAATGCATGTTTTCTTTTTAAAAGTATACTTAAGGGTAAGACAGCGTCCCTCCAAAAGAGGGTGCAAAAATGACAGCCTATAGGATGAATAAAAAAGACAAAACAAGCTTCACAAATTTGGCCAACTCAAGGGACATGCCCCCAAAGTTACAAAACTGCTAGAAAGTTGGACTGCACGGGAGGTTCTGCTGGATTGAGAGACTGAGGCAAGATTGCTTCTGTGCTTTGTAAATGTATGGAATAAGGACCATTTGACTACTTTGCATATGCCCGTAATGAAATCATAGAATCATAGAATATCAGGGTTGGAAGGGACCCCTGAAGGTCATCTAGTCCAACCCCCTGCTCGAAGCAGGACCAATTCCCAGTTAAATCATCCCAGCCAGGGCTTTGTCAAGCCTGACCTTAAAAACCTCTATAGAAGTCTATAGAAATCTTTCATGAGGTAGGCAGGGAAGGCTGGGGAAAATATTGTCAAGATAAGTTAGCTCATTAAGGTGGAACTCCATAACTACCTTGCAAAGGCATCTCAGATGAGTCCACAGCTCTTTATTCTTTTAAGATTTTGGTAAAGATTGATCAGTCACAAAAACTTGAAGTTAGCTCACTGTGAGATAGTCACTAACACTAGGAAAATAACCTTCCACATCAGAAACTTGAACTCACAGGTACTGAGTGGCTCAAAAAGAGCTTTCCAGGAGCACATTAATATTTCATAACACCAGCAGCTTTTTAAATAAAGGTTTCAAAAGAATCAGTCCACCAAGAACCATACAACAAATGGCTGAAGAGACACCTTTGACTAGCTCATGATGGGTTGCTAATAAACGAACTCAAATGGAGTTAATCTTTAAGTTAGATTCATACAGGAGAAGAAGGTAATCAAGCAGTTTTTGAAAACCTATATAACTTTCAATATTAAGTCCTTCTCTTAGACAGGTTCCACAAGGGTAAGAGAACTCAAATCATTGGCTCGAAAACTCTAATCCTACTGTGCTCTTGCCAGCAATCAAGCCGTCATACACAGAGCTCCCAGACTGGGATGGAGTAAAGTGTCATGATTCTGAGAGATCAGTCACGGCTAGGACTCTGATCCTGGTGGAACCTGCTTTGGCCATCTGCAAAAGATCTGAGAACCTGACTGTGATAGTATGAAGCTACTAGGATCAAGTATTTATCTCATCTGGATTTGGCCAGAATTGTGGAGAGGCACACAGGAACCTCCTTCCTCAGTGGATGGAAAAATAAGTATCTTTTGTTAATGTAATGCCTTCTCAGTGTCCCGAGTAAAAGATGAGTGGTTTCTCATTGGGGTGAATGATGAAGAGAACAACATCTAGTGTAACACTGTCACGAAAGATCTGATTCAGTACTTCCTGATCCAGGAGTCCACTTATGAGGCTCTAAAATATCTACTAAGGAATTTCTTACAGAGCCCTCTCTCTCATTGGAAGGGCTTCCAGAGAGACAACCTTATGCTTGCTTGTTTATATAAAACATAATAGCCTGATTTGCCACTTGAATCAGAATCATCATGAAAGATATCAAGTCTCTAAAGATCTTCATCAAATTCAGAACCCGCCCTTGCTGGTCGAACACTGATGTGCAGTTGTTGCTCTTGGAGAATTCAAGTTCCTGCAGACGGTCCCCATCCCTGGGGAAAAGCATCAGAGGTCACTGCTATTTGGATCGGATGACTTTGGATTCAGATTCCATTTTCTAGTTGACGACTGTTTCTGGAGTATCAGGTAGGCCTGGAGGTCTCTGGATCTAATGTAAAATGGTGATGCTTGGATTCACTGGACTCTCAGAGTACACTAGAGATATACCATAGATTTTACAGCTACAGTTGTGGCCATGAAACTCAACAATTGTAGCATGGCCAAACTGTCACCTGTTATTCCTTGCATATCCTTTCTGGAAAACTGGCATTGTCTTGGATATTGTCCTTGGATAGGAAGGTTTTTTTCTGAGCTGTTGAGTGGTCTGCCTTGCTGCCAAAGGGATGAGGTAGTGGAGAAACAGCCTGAAAGGGAAACAGAGGGAAGTATCTTTGAAGCTGAATCAATTCCAAATCACTGCACAAAGACCAAAGTCTCAAGGAAATGAACTGAAGATTTGAAAACACCAAAGCACAGAGGCACTTAAGCGAAGCACTGAAGCACTCAATGCCAAATACAAAGACAGGGATTAGGGAACTGAGATTCCTGGAGACTTCTCCTCTATCAGCATTTATTGGCAAGCAGCAGCTAAACAATTGCAGGATTACCCCCCCACCCCACCAAAAAAAAAAAAAAAAAAAAAAGAAAAGAAGACACAAAGAATACCTGAAGCAGGATAGGCACCAAGGGAGCTCAAGAGTTGCGGCTGCAGTTAGATACAACTTTTGCAGAGAGCTCTTTCGAAGACTGCAGTCAAGAAATGACTGGATACACCCAAAAGCTGAGGTTAAAGAACCTGGGTAGCAATCAATCAGCAGCGTGGAGGTTACCTGGGGACCAAACAAGCTTTCGGGAGGTTTTGCTGTCTCATGCTAGGGTAATGAGACCCCACAGCAAGAATCCTGCACAGATGGTATCTTTACAGAAGTCAGCATTTAATGTTTACAGCCCAATATTTGCAACATCTACAGTGTGTTATGTGCTGTTCAAGCATATAGTGTGAAACCCTCTGCCCCAATTTTAATGTAATTACCACCACTGTAGTAAATATTGATTTTTTTTTTCAATAGCGACCACTGTAAAGTGATGGTCAATTGGTAAATTCAACTGCCATGTTGGAGATCAAATACTTGAGTGATTTCAGTGTGCAAAAAAAGAACCCCATCTGCAGGAAGGAAAGGGGAATCAACTCGTAACTGCAGAGGATTTATACTCTCAGATAAGTCAGATTTTAAAATATATTAAATATATTAAAAATGGCAAACCAGAATAAGAGCATGGATAAAAATATTCCTCATAGACATACTTTTCCTAAATATGTGTGCGCACACATGCGTAATAAAAGCCTCACAGGTTTAAATAGTAACAGTAAAAATAGTTCCAATAATTCATTTTTCCTTCTTTTGGAGTATGAATGCTATTCTTCTAATGACAATATTCCAAGTAAAATTAATTTAGAGTGGACGGACCTGGTGGAAAGGACATTACTATGGCCACAGGGTTCCCCACATTTCAAACTGCTGCTGGTTCTAGTTTGTTGCACATTTGAAGGGATCTTAAATATTGTACATTTTTAGGAATCTTGTGAAAATGCTTCCATTCTTCCTTTAAAAAGCACATGCTACGGCTTTTGTTTTTTGTTTTTAGAAAGGAAAACAGCTTCATTTTTGTAGGGTTCAAATAATTTAAAAAAATCATACATTGGCAGATTTTTCTGTAGAACCATTTCTGTGCGCACTGTGATTAACAAACTAGCTGCATAATGTGTTAGACCAAAAGCTGGAATTAACTATTATAAAGAAAACTAACAAGAAAAAGGCCCAATTTTGAAAATGGCCTCAAAAAAGCAGCTGTTCAAGGGTGGCTATTCTTATCTACCACAGTAGAGAAATACCAACAGTTTTTAAAATTCCTAATAAAAATGTACTGGAGTTTGAAAGACTTTTTCAATCATGAGAAGTTGAGATATATATTGGGATTAGTAGGATTTATCAACTGTGAAAAAAACCCACAGAATTACTTCCAAACACAATCCAGCATACAAATATAAAAACCAGTATCAAACCCATGATTATATATTTTACACTATCTTATCACATACACCCTATAATACACAGGGATGTTTCAACAATGGCTATGCATTCAAGATTGTCTATGTCTAAGAAAACTATCTGTTAAAAATGCAGGATAGAGGGAGATGTACTTTATCCTGGGCACAAAGCATATGAGCTATTCCTCAAAGGAACTGCCCACTAGATGACAGAAAGAAAATTAAAAATTGCATTAAGGCTAGGCTCTACTATAGGAAGCCTGGCATAGGAATTCAGATTGCCATAACACAGCGTATCACTGGTGGCTCTCAAGCTTCAGAGAAAGGGTAGAAAAACAAACCCAAAACCCTAGATGATCAAAAGATTAAATTAAAAATAAAAACTCAAGCAAATGGCTACATACATAATCTGATTTCACCAGCATACTTACGAAGGATGATGTGGGTGATAACGAATGCAAATATAAAGACTGTCAGAAAGGACAGAGATAAAATAAACATATAAAAAAATCGGTAGTTTCTTTTCCCCACACAGTTGCCTACCCAGGGACAATGGTGATCAAACCGTTCTGAAATGAGAGGTAGAAAAAAATGGAATATAATTAATAAAGTGCTACTTTACTTCAGAAAAGCCCTCTAAATAGTGTAGAACAAATCATGATTTAATTGGTATTTGCTAACGGGTCAGAGAACTTCTTAGGACCCCCCCACCCCCCAGTATTTTAATGCAATGTTACAATTAAGAAATTAATGCACAACAGAGGTGGTGGTCTGTTAAATTACATAAATTTATGCTTTAGTACAACTGGAGAAATAAGCATACACATTTCCACTATCACATATAGAGTACCAGTTTAATTATCTGGATTTGGTCTCCAATATATTCATTTTTACTCAGAACTATAGTCCTCTATCACTATAATTTTGTGCCACGTGTCCAGATTATACATTTGAGATTTCCCTGTGTCCATTACCACCCCACACCCATCAATTACGGAGCAGAAAATATTTTCCCTTCTTTTGTTATTCAGTTCATGATATCTTCCATCTCAGATCTGCTATTTTTCAGTTAGAACCAAAACTTCTACACCAAACAACTTCCATGGCAAAACAATTGAAATACAGTGTGGTGGAAAAGGGTTATTCTTAAGGGTTCACTTTTCTCAATTTTTTTCTTAGCTTTTTTAGCTATTGTGTTTTAAATCCTTTATTTTATTTTTTGAGAAATAATCCAGGGACACCAGGCGCGCTACAGCTGACGAGAGAAAGAGCTCTCCTGTTGGCTTAATAACTCCACCTCCATGAGAGGTGGTAACTACATTGGACGGGGAAGCTCTCCCACCGACATAGTGCTGTCTAAGGTCAGTATAACTACATTGCTCAGGAGTGTGGATTTTTCACATCCCCTTAGCATTGTAGTTATGGTGGAGTAAGTATGTAGTATAGACCAAGCCTAGACTGTTTAGAATAAGTAGTTAACACACATTTAATGGACCATTTGAGATGAAGTGGCCCATTAACACCCCTCCAGTCAAAGGGGGGAAAGCAGTGTGTGTATGGGTAGGGGGCAAAAGGCAGCTAAGGGAATTATAGATTGTAGTTTCAGAGGAACAGCCGTGTTAGTCTGTATTCGCAAAAAGAAAAGGAGTACTTGTGGCACCTTAGAGACTAACCAATTTATTTGAGCATGAGCGTTCGTGAGCCACAGCTCACTTCATCAGATGTGTACCGTGGAAACGGCAGTTTCCACGGTACACATCTGATGAAGTGAGCTGTGGCTCACGAAAGCTCATGCTCAAATAAATTGGTTAGTCTCTAAGGTGCCACAAGTACTCCTTTTCTTTTTATAGATTGTAGTAATAAGCCACCCATCCAATGTCTTTATTTAGTCCATGATTTTTAGTGTCTAGCAAAGTTATGAATTTAAGCTCCCAGGCTCATCTTTTGAAAGTGTTGTGCAGGTTCCTTTGAGGATGAGGACTGATAAGTCAGATACAATGTGATCGCTTTGTGTTATCATAACACAGGTGATACAGTGTTTTTGTCTTTTATCATTTTCCTGTGAGAGTTCATTCCAGTGATTGTCTGGTTTCACCCACATAGTTGTTATTGGGGGATTTAGCACACTGGACATGAGGAGGCTGGGCCTCCTCAAACAGCCAGGCATGGCCCTGCCCACACCCTGCCCCGAGGGCCCTGCTTCAACGGATCCGGTGGGCTCCAGGGGCTGGGGCCGTGCTGCCCGCATTCCTGGGGCTGGGGAGGCTACAGCAGCACCACCACATGCTCTCCCTCTAGGCCCTCCGGGGCTGGGGGAGGGGGAGATTGCAGCGTCGCCACCGTGCGCTCTCCCTCCCCATGCTCTGGGGGGGGGGGGGGCGCTTTGGGCACTAGCCAGCCTGTGGCAGGGGCTGGTGGCCACGGTGGGGGGGGGGTGAGGGGCGGGAAGGTCTGGATTCCAGGGCATATGGAAGGGGCGGGGCTGGGGGCTAGCCTCCCCCAGCTAGAGGTTCACGAGCCGCCCTGGGCACTGGATGTGGTACACCACATGTTGTGATAGCCATGTGTAGGACCCATGGATCTTAAAAGGTTTGTTGTGAGGGGTGCTGATCATTGTAGCAGTAGAGATATGTCTGCAGGTTTTGCATCGGTTGTTCTGGCAGAGGCTGGTGCCGCTTTGAGTTAGTGTGTCCAAGTCTGTGGGGAGCCTTCTTCTGATTATGAGCTTGGAGAGACTGGGGGTTTGTTTGAAGATGAGAATTGGGGGGTTCAGGAAAGATTTCTTTCAGAGTGGGGTCCCCATCAAGTATAGATTGGATTCCCAGCATGGATTCACCAAGGGAAGGTCATGCCTGACTAATCTAATCGCCTTTTATGATGAGATTACTGGTTCTGTGGATGAAGGGAAATCAGTGGATGTATTGTTTCTTGACTTTAGCAAAGCTTTTGACACGGTCTCCCAGAGTATTCTTGTCAGCAAGTTAAGGAAGTATGGGCTGGATGAATGCACTACAAGGTGGGTAGAAAGCTGGCTAGATTGTCGGGCTCAACGGGTAGTGATCAATGGCTCCATATCTAATTGGCAGCCGGTATCAAGTTGAGTACCCCAAGGGTCGGTCCTGGGGCCGGTTTTGTTCAATATCTTCATAAATGATCTGGAGGATGGTGTGGATTGCACTCTCAGCAAATTTGCAGATGATACTAAACTGGGAGGAGTGGTAGATACGCTGGAGGGGAGGGATAGGATACAGAAAGACCTAGACAAATTGGAGGATTGGGCCAAAAGAAATCTGATGAGGTTCAATAAGGATAAGTACAGGGTCCTGCACTTAGGACGGAAGAACCCAATGCACAGCTACAGACTAGGGACCGAATGGCTAGGCAGCAGTTCTGCGGAAAAGGACCTAGGGGTGACAGTGGACGAGAAGCTGGATATGAGTCAGCAGTGTGCCCTTGTTGCCAAGAAGGCCAATGGCATTTTGGGATGTATAAGTAGGGGCATAGCGAGCAGATCGAGGGACGTGATCGTTCCCCTCTATTCGACATTGGTGAGGCCTCATCTGGAGTACTGTGTCCAGTTTTGGGCCCCACACTTCAAGAAGGCTGTGGATAAATTGGAGAGAGTCCAGCGAAGGGCAACAAAAATGATTAGGGGACTGGAACACATGACTTATGAGGAGAGGCTGAGGGAGCTGGGCTTGTTTAGCCTGCAGAAGAGAAGAATGAGGGGGGATTTGATAGCTGCTTTCAACTACCTGAAAGGGGGTTCCAAAGAGGATGGCTCTAGACTGTTCTCAATTGTAGCAGATGACAGAACGAGGAGTAATGGTCTCAAGTTGCAGTGGGGGAGGTTTAGATTGGATATTAGGAAAAACTTTTTCACTAAGAGGGTGGTGAAACACTGGAATGCGTTACCTAGGGAGGTGGTAGAATCTCCTTCCTTAGAGGTTTTTAAGGTCAGGCTTGACAGAGCCCTGGCTGGGATGATTTAACTGGGAATTGGTCCTGCTTTGAGCAGGGGGTTGGACTAGATGACCTTCTGGGGTCCCTTCCAACCCTGATATTCTATGATTCTATAGGTTGTAGTGGTTTGAGGATACCCTGTATGGGTTCTGTGTGGGGTGGTAGGTGACAACTAAGGGTATGCATTAGAGGGGGATTTATTTCTACATTGAAGCAGGGTCTCTTGTTGTATTAAGGTGGCTTGTTCCATGATATGATCTACTTCTCTGGTGGAGTGTCCTAGTTTGGTGAAGGTGGTTTTGAATGTGTTAATGTATATATCCTGTAATTTCTCCTTGGAGCATATACGGTGATATCTGAGTGCTTGGCTATGGATAACAGATTTCTTCTTGTGTTTGGGGTGATTACTGGATTTATGAAGGTAGGTGTAGTTACCTGTGGGTTTCTTGGACACAGTTGTCTGTAGGGTTCCATTGCTGAAGCTAACTGGTGTGTCTAGGAATTTGATGCTAGTGTGGGAGTGTTCCAGAGACAGTTTAATGGACAGGTGTGGTTGCTGTGGTGGAAATCTACCAGGGTAGGCTTCCCTGCCTCTCCTCTTCTTTTCCCAAATTGGCCACTTCACTTGAATGGTACCTTGAATATGCGTTAATTACTTACGCTAAACAGAAAAGGAGTACTTGTGGCACCTTAGAGACTAACCAATTTATTTGAGCACGAGCTTTGATTTATTTATTTATTGATGCATCCGATGAAGTGAGCTGTAGCTCACGAAAGCTCATGCTCAAATAAATTGATTAGTCTCTAAGGTGCCACAAGTACTCCTTTTCTTTTTGCGAATACAGACTAACACGGCTGTGAAACCTGTCATTACGCTAAACAACATTCCACTTTCTATTTAGCTGTGACATTCTGAGTATGTTTCCCAGACCTGAAGAAGAGCTTTATGTAAGCTTGTCTCTCTCTATAACAGAAGTTGGTCTAATGAAAGATATTACCTCACCCACCTTGTCTTTCTAAAATTTTAAATTGTAACAGAGTCTAAGATCAGAAAATAACACAGATGCTTTTATGCCTCCTCCCATTCTCAGTCTAAGACCTATTCAAAGCCTGTTTTGTTTTTCCTAACTTTTAGGTCTCCATTGATGTATGCTAACTATTTGTAGTCAGACAGGAAAGGCATGCAATAAATCTGAAAGTCCTCAAATTCTATGCAAAAAAAAAAAAAAAAAAGCACATCTGTCCAAACACACCAGTTTGTTTTTATTGCGTCTTTATGGTTAAGACCTACATGAGAGGATTTTCTTAAAGAATGTATTTAGGATTATCTTGATTTAAAAATTTAAACAGCATGCACTACAGACTTCTGAGTTTACTATATTTATTAGCTTTTTCAAGGTTTTGCGTGACAGTTGTTTGGGCCACATAGTTCTGCTAGATATCTATTTCAAATTCCTGTATGGCTATTTAGGGTAAAGTTACTGACCCTTCTTGGGAATGAGAAAAATTCAGAATTAGCATCTTCAGTCTTATCAAGCTACTAATAAATATTTCAGGAGCTTAAAACATTGGGTGCTATTAACTTCTCTGCTGTAGTGGAACACAC